CTCTCTGCCCGCGCCTCTTCCCGCTCCCAGACTTCCTCCCCCTGAAGTGCGATGCCTGCGAGCAGATCTTCTGCACCGACCATGTTGCTTATGCCCAGCACGACTGCACCTCTGCCTACAAGAAGGTAAGCGTGGAGAGGAGGTCTAATCCAGCCTCGTGCACGGAGCTGCTGAGCATTCCCAGCCAGCAATCAGAATAATTTGTGACTTCTTTGGTAGCTTGGGCAGTCCCCCTTGGGGTATGCTGGAGGTGTCCTTGAAAGCCAGGATCTGTATCTTAGTGCCTCAGGTTTCCAGCCCACCCGGTGCCACTGGGTGAAACGGTTTGGGCATCTCCCAGCCCTGCTGTCTTCCCTTCCCAGAGTGCATGTCTGTACCTGTCACAGGTGCTGGGTCAGAAACAGCAAGCTCTTTGGAGGGTGGTGAGCAGGATCTCAAGCTGCAGATGACTCTGTGGATACCACAGCAGACAGATCCTGAAAGGGACCGAGGTGGCCGCAGGGCACTTGAGCTTGCCCAGCTGTGTGCTCCCAGCCCCCTTTTCTTGTCTCTACAGGATGTGCAGGTCCCCGTGTGCCCCCTCTGCAACACCCCGGTGCCCGTGAGGCGGGGGGAGATGCCCGATGTCGTGGTGGGTGAGCACATTGACCGTGACTGCAAGTCCGACCCCGCACAGCGCAAGCGCAAGGTAGGAACCCAGCGGTCTCCATCTTGCTGCTGAGCTCCACTGGGTCCCTGCCGCAGCCTGGGTGTTGGATGCAAACTACCCACGATTCGGCTTTGCTCAGTGCCCCCTCAGTTTGCACAGGCCGAGGGCAGGAAGGGTTGGTGAGCTGGAGATGTTGGCATCTGCAGGGCTTTGTGGTGCGAGTCTGGGGCTGAGATAGCAATGAGGTGGGGCTGCGCAGCCCTGTGGGACATGAGGAAAGGCAGGACGAGGATGGGAAACTACATGCTGCCATTAGGAAAATGCAATCAGCAATTAGCTGCCCCTTCTTGCCAGAAGAGGAAATTGCTACAGGGAGCTGGCCCTGCAGGAGCCCAGCCCAGCAGCAGCTGGAGGACTGTGGGCTGTCACTACTGCCGTGGTGGGAAGAGTCCCTGGGCGAGGCAGTCTCTCTGCTGTGCATTCTGTGATCATGGGGACCCTTTTTTATGAAGGCCAAAGCACCAGTGAATTACTAATGAATTATCTAAAGAAAACTAGTATTTGGAGGCAAACTCCAGAGCACTGGCTCTGGAGGGGAAAGCTGGTCAGTGCCCAGAGCCTGGCATGGAGGGAAAGGACAACCCCAGCCTTGCCGCATGTTATCCTTTTCACTTCTGCCGTGTCGTCCTTCAGATCTTCACCAACAAGTGTTTGAAACCTGGCTGCAAGCAGAAGGAGATGATGAAAGTGATCTGTGACCAGTGCCACAAGAACTACTGCCTCAAGCACCGGCACCCCCTGGACCATGATTGCAGCGGGACAGGGCGTCCCCTTTCCAAAGCAGGGTGAGGGTCTGGGGACAGATGGGCTGGCAGGGATGGGGCTGTGCTTTCCAGATGGGTGACAGGAAAGAAGCTGAGCTCTTCCCAGCCCATTGTCTGGGACTGCTGCATTCTCACACTCCCTACCCTATGTGCTGGGGTGTTTTCCAGCAGCGTTAAGGTTTGTAGTCAGCACAGCTGTATGCAGTCTCTCCCTCCTGCAGCAAAACCTGACGGTGCTGCCGGTGCAAAACCTGCCTTCTTGCTTCTCTGCCCAGCCCTTTGTTCTGCAGCTGATGGTTTCTGCCTTTGCTGGCACAGTGTTTTGAGGAGAGAAATGGCACTTGAACTCTGGGGCGTAGCTGAGCCACAATATGGGTACTCTTGGGAGGAGGAGGAGCGGGGAGTTAGGGAGGTGTCTTGCTTACCCAGCTTCGTCTCCACGGGTTTTCGGTGCCCAGGCATGGCCCGTGATGGTAGAACAATTACTCACAGTCATCCTGTCTGTCCTAGGCATGCTGCAGTTGCGAGAGCCCAGGCATTCTCCTCCAAAACAGTCACCACATCGAGCAGTGGAGCTGCCCGGCCAGCAGACAGCCCCTCTGCTCCAGCCTCTGCCAGGTATGCTGACAGTCCGACTCCTGATTCTGAGGCGGGCATGACTAGGCTCAGCTCGGCTCCCTGTGGGATGCAGGACTGACAGCTCCCTGCTACCTGTGCTTTGGCAGGGCTGTGTACTCATACCAGGGCTCCCTGCCTTGACGATAACCCAGCTCCTCTCCTGTTTGCAGAGGCAGAGCAGCTGCGTCACAGACTCGCAGCGCCTCCCCTCCAGCTGTCATGCTGCAGAACGGGCTGGTGAGTAGCCTGGCCTGGGCATTTGGGTTGGGTTTGGGTGGTTCCTGTGCCCCGGGGAGATACTGCAGCAACTGCTGCGTAACCCGCACTCTGAAGGTGACCGCAGTGCTCCCCAGCTGGGCCTTCCCTGGCAAACGGGGATCCCAGACGCTCAGTGGGGCATCAGCAGAGTTGGCTCTGGTGCCTGCAAAGGGCAACTCTTGGCTGCAGTTGGTGCTCAGCTTTCCCCAAAGGGACAAAGTGCACTGACTCTTTTCCCTGGGTGTTGTCTTTCTGTTCTGCAAGCAGAGGGAGAGACCAGAAGCCACTTCCCACTGGTATTCTTGGCACGCTCCCTGCACTGGCAGGCAGGGCTGTGCTCCCTCAGGCAGGGGGAGAGAGCGCTGCAGGTCTGTCCTGAGCCCAAGGCCTTCACCTTGTCTGTGTCTGGCCTTGGAGAGGGGAGGTGCACCACCCTTGGCCAGGCAAGACTGTGTCTGCTGCGTGTCCCTCAGGGCTGCCTCCTGCCGCCTCAGCCAAGCTGGTGACGATATGTTGTGTTTCAGAGCGAGGAAGAGGCCCTGCAGCGAGCTCTGGAGTTATCCCTGGCAGAGTCAGCATGCAGCTCAGCACATCCACCCAGGTATGGTCTGGGGACACATGGTGTCACTCACGCCCCAAGCCTAAATGTGAGAGATGCCCAGGGCAGAGTCATGTGGCTCTGGGATGACATTCTTCTCAGCACGTGGCTCCGGATGATGCCTCTGTGTGACTGACGGGAGGAAAAAAGGAAGAGTCCAGACAATCACAGAGCTCTGTTTAGCGAACAAGCCCTCTGGGGTGCTGGGAGGAGACAGTGACTGACAGTACAGAGTAGGGCAGACTGTTGTCTGACCACTTGTCAGCTAATGAACATGGCTAGATTGTGGCAGAGGTGGAGCAGGGATGTTCGCAGAGGACATCAAGGAGCCCACGTCCTCGGGCACTTTGCCTGGTGCTGCTAAAAGCACCGTCTTACAGACTGTGGAGTTAACGTGGTTTTCCCTGGCCCAGGTTGCTGGCTGCCCCAGCTGGATGCTTTGGTCCCTCCCCAACCCCTGGCCTGTTTAGGGTGATCCTCAGTTGGTGATCCTCAGTTGCCCCCAGCCCTTAGCTGTCCTGGAGGGCTGCAGTGACAGGAGATCCTGCCGCCCTGAAGGGCTCTGAGTGCGGGTGGGTGAGCCCAGGGGAGGCTGAGGCACACACAATGCACTGCTGTCCCCAGCAGCACGCAGGAGGAGGAGGATCTGGCACTGGCCCAGGCACTGTCAGCGAGTGAAGCCGAGTACCAGCAGTCGCAGCGGCAGGTGAGTGAGGCTGTCTGTACGCTCTGCACCATGGTGGGGTTTATCCCAGCCTGGCTGTGTCATGGTGGGCTCTTCCCTGGGTTCTGCTTCCTCTGGGCTCTTTCTAGGGTCACTCTTCTCATCAGGAGGGCAGCCCGGCCTGAGGCAGTGGCAGTGTCACTGCTGAGCACACAACCCTGGGGACTTGAGCACTGGATGTGCTCCCTCGTAGGACAGAGGAAGAACTCCATCTTCCCTTGCTCACTGTGTCCTTCTTCCTGTTTCAGGCACACGGTTCGAAGCCATCAAACTGCAGCATGTCGTAGGCAGGCGAGGCGGGGTGTGCCAGTGGACATGGGACCCCGCTTGTGACCTGAGGAGCAGCTCTGGCCTCCCACGTGGATGCTGTGGTGTTCTGGCCTGGACACTTGACAAGAGCCCCTCACTGAGGACAACTCGTCTCCCTGGGGGCTGTGAGCAAGCTGCCAAACACACCGATGCCTCAGCCCTCGTGTCTGTATAAAATCGGTGCAGCAAATTGCTGATGCTCCCAGAGAGGTGAAGACGGTGTGGGATGAGGCTGAGCATACACTGACCAAAGCAGCAGCAGCCCACGGCGTGCGCTTAGCCACAGCTGCTGCAGCCACGTCCCGTGGGGTGAGGGCAGAGCTGGCCTGGAAGGTAGTGCTGTGGGGACATCTCTGCATGCTCGGACGTACAGCCGGGATGCAGCTGCCTGCTCCAGTAGCAGGGGGCTGGATTTCATGCTTCTGGGAGGACCCTGCCAGCCCCTCAGCAAAGAGCAACTGTGTCTGAGATGGTCTCTCGCTTGGGCATGGCACTGCTGAATGTGCGGCCTCCCGGCAGCATGAAGGCAGCCCCTTCCCCGCTCCCCGGGCCCTCGGTGCCTCCCTTCCTGTTTGCATGCACAAGAGCACGTTGGGCCTTACCTGACTTGGACCTCTCTGAGACTGAACGGAGCTGTGTTTCCTTTCTGGTTTAATTTAACAAGGGCCATTAAATGAAAAGTAACCTCAGCAGTGACTTTGTGCCAGCATCACTCGCATGGGAGGACTGCAGCTGCCTTCGTGCTGCTGCCTGCTCCTCGGCTGCCCTAAACCATCCCAGGGCCCTGTTTAATGTTGCTGGGGCTGGAGCATGTCCCTCCTTCCAGCCGTGCTGTGGGAGATCACCTCCTGGGGTGCAGCAGCACAGAACCCCTTCTTGCGAACAGCCCTGAGCATGGAGCCAGCCCTTCCTTGCTGGTGTTTGGAGGCAGGACCTGATGTCTGGGTCGGGGGGACGTGTCCTGCTGGCATCTTGCAGGGGTGTCTGCAGCCAGGGCTGCGCGGTTATGCCTGGTTCTGCCCAGGGCTGGGCTGTCCTGCTCTGAGCAGTGTACAGTGGAGGGCAGTTACCTGCTGGCAGTGCCTCCCTGGGGTGGGAGGGGGCTTCAGGCTGGGCTGAGGGAATGCTGACTCATCAAAGTGCTGCTTGGGAGAAAACAAAACCATAGCATAAGGTGCAGAGGTGATATGGGGAAGCAGTCGCTTGGTGTCCAGCCCAGAGTGGTGCGTCAGCCAGCAGGTCGAGGGAGGTGATTCTGCCCCTCTGCTCTCGTGAGGCCCCACCTGCAGTACTGCGTTCAGCTCTGGGGTCCCCAACACAAGAAGGACATGGAGCTGTTGGAGCGGGGCCAGAGGAGGGCCATGAAGATGATCTGTGGGCTGGAGCACCTCTGCTATGAGGACAGGCTGAGAGAGTTGGGGTTGTTCAGTCTGGAGAAGCAAAGGCTCCAGGGAGACCTTCTAGCAGCCTTCCAGTACCTGAAGGGGGCCTACAGGAAAGCTGGAGAGGGACTTTTGACAAAGGTGTGTAGTGACAGGACAAGGAGCTATGGCTTTAAACTGAAAGAGGGCAGATTTTGATTAGTTGTAAGGAAGACATTTTTTACAATGACGGTGGTGAAGCACTGGAACAGGTTGCCCAGAGGAGCAACAGGATGCCCCATTGCTGGAAGTGTTCAAGGCCAGGTTGGATGAGGCTTTGGGCAACCTGGTGTAGTGGAAGGTGTCCCTGCCTATGGCAGGGAGGTGGAACTAGATGATCTTTAAGGTCCCTGCCAACCCAAACCATTCTGTGATTCTATAGGGGTGCAAGGGGAGGGCACATGGGGGTGAAGCAGAGACCAGCTGTGCTGCTTCTTCCTTTGCTGTTGGAGCGCAGCCCCTGCCACGCTCA